CACTCTTAAAAATAAAGGTGCTTCACGATGCCATAGAAGAACCTTTTTGTCTAAATGGTTCCATAAAGAATTTTTTACATCTGAAGGACCTTTCTGTTTCACAAAAGGTTCTTTGTGGCGAAAGAAGGTTCTTTAGATTATAAAAAGGTAAGAAAGAGATGGTTCTTTAAAGAACCTTTGACTGAATGGTTCTTTGTGGAACCAAAAATGGTTCTTCTATGCCATAGAATCTATGGCATCGCTGTGAAGAACCTTTTAAGCACCTTTATTTTTAAGAGTGTATGCCATATCATGCCATAGCATCATTAAACTCGAATTGAATCGTTCTAAATTTGCAAAAATCGTTTTTAAATCGAAAACCTATGAATCGTGAATCGAATCTCTGTCTACCCAAAGATTCACAGCCCTACTTTCAGCAGGACACAGGGGAAGGTGTTATTCCTAGCCCACACAACACAGCTACTCCAATATCTTTAAGTGAATCGCCAATTTCAACATCTGATAGGGCAAAACTTGCGGCACTGTTGCAGGAGTACAGTGACATCTTTCATTTCTGAGGGAAAAATACAGGAAAATGCACATTGGTGCAGCATCATATCAAGACTGGGGAACATGGCCCTATTCAGCAGCGTGCATACCGTGCATCGCCTGAAAAGAGAGCTAAAATAGAGAGACAGTTGGCGGGCCTGCTAGCTGAGGGTGTCATCGAAGAAAGCTGTAGCCCCTGGCCATCTCCAGTCGTGCTTGTAAAAAATAAATGTGGTGCCTGGCGCTTCTGCGTTGATTATAGACGCTTGAACAGTATAACGGTCCAGGACTCTCATCCTCTGCCACGTGTGGATGACACACTGGATGCATTAGCGGGCGCAGCAAAGTTCCTTGATTATTACGCCGGAATGAGAGTATAGTTCCTAGCCATATCGGCCTAGAAAATCACAACTTAATGGATTCGAAAACGGTAAAACTAAACTGTTTAACTCTGTTTAGGGGAGTTGGAAAATGAGCCTATTTTCAAAAATAGTGGAGTGGGCGGGCCTGCTAGCTGAGGGTGTCATCGAAGAAAGCTGTAGCCCCTGGGTGTCTCCAGTCGTGCTTGTAAAAAAGAAATGTGGTGCCTGGCGCTTCTGCGTTGATTATAGACGCTTGAACAGTATAACGGTCCAGGACTCTCATCCTCTGCAACGTGTGGATGACACACTGGATGCATTAGCGGGCTCCAGATGGTTCAGCACGTTGGATTTTTCTAATGGATACTGGCAGGTAGAGGTGGCCGAGCAAGACAGAGAAAAAACAGCTTTTACTACAGGTCAGGGTCTATATCAGTGGTGCTGCATGCCGATGGGGCTTTCTAACTCCCCCGCCACTTTTCAGTGGATGATGGAGTTAGTTCTGAGAGGGCTCCCATGGCACATTTGCATGGTGTACCTGGACGATATTTTGATTTATAGTCCAACATTTGACAAGCATTTAACTCATCTGAAAGAAGTGTTTTCCAGAATATGTTCGGCAGGTTTGAAACTGAACCCCAGAAAATGCAACTTGGCTAGGGATCACGTGATATTCCTGGGCCATGTTGTTTCAGAGAAAGGTCTCCAGCCTGACCCGAGAAACACGGAGAAGGTTCGAAATTGGCCAGTTCCACAGTCTCCCTCGGAGTTTAGAGCATTTGTGGGACTGTGTTCATACTATCGATGCTTTGTAAAGGACTTTTCAAAACATGCAGCCCCGCTGAATCAGCTGGTGGGCAAAAATGTGCCTTTTGTATGGAATACCGATTGTGACCATGCATTTAACTACTTGAAGGAAGTGCTGTCTTCAGCTCCCATCGTGACACTGCCTGATTTCAAAGTGCATTTCAAAGTTTATACGGATGCCTCCAAGTGGGCTGTGGGTGCTGTACTTGCACAGGAAAAAGATGGACTAGAGCACGTAGTAGCGTATGCCAGCCGCGCCTTGAATGTCACACAGTGATCCAGATATTGACACGGTGCGGCACTGGGTAGAGCAATCACGAAGGCCTCCTAGGAGACAGCTGGCAGGCACATCTCAATTTATGTAAATATTGGACTGAGTTTAATCGTCTCTCCATAATAAATGGACTGTTGTGTTGTTCAGTTTCCTGTCCTCCAGCAGGTGACCCTGTTGCTGAGGTTGTAGTTCCACCTGCTCTTAAACATGACATACTTTTGCAGCTCCACGGGGCCCCAACTGCTGCTCATTTTTATCCAGAATGAGTGTGGGAACGGGTGAGGCGTTTTTGCTACTAGCCGTCTATGTTTAAGGACATTAAGATGTGGTGCGAGCAATGCACAGCGTGTCAAACTCGTCGTAAGCTGGTCCCAAATCATCAAGCACCGATGGGTGGGTCCCTGACAATGCAACCCTTTGAGAGAGTTGCAATGGACATTTTGGAACTACCAATAACAACCGAAGGAAATCAGTATGTATTTGTTTGCATGTCAGTATGCCCTGCCTCACCAATCTGCACAGACTGTCGCTCACTGCTTGTTTGAGGACTACACTTTGATACACTGCGTTCCTGAATCTTTGCACTCTGATCAGGGTCACCAGTTTGAATCAGAGGTGCTCCCGACTCTCTGTCGTTTGCTGAATATAAAGAAAACGCGCACCACTCCCTACCACCTAGCGTCCGACGGCATGGTGGAACGTTTTAACAGAACATTGACCAATCAGATGGCTAAGATACTGTTGTCATGTGGGGGTGAGTGGGACAATTCTATCAAACAGGTGGCATTTGCGTACAATTCTTCACCTCATTCTAGCACCAAGTTCTCACCTTACTTTCTGGTTCATGGACGAGAACCAAGGATGCCCACTGACTTGTTACTAGACACGCATACACTTGACCAGAACATCTCATGCTGCATTCATGTCCACTTTGCTTGCAAATCTACAGGATGCTTTCAGGAGTGCTAGAATGTACAGTGAAGTGGCTCATGATCGCCAGAAACTGTATCATGATTCAGGCCTCAGACACCAGCCCTATGCAGTCGGTGCCACGGTGTGGCTCCATAATCCAGTGGAGAGCCGCATGAAGCTGGCGCCCGACTGGAAAGGACCTTTTATGATTGCACAAATCTTTGACTCTGGTGGTGAGCCAGGACTGACATACTGGATTGTTAGCCCTATGGACTCAGATGGACAAGGACAGGTTGTGCATTACAATAGGTTGAGACCTTATACATTGCCTGTTCCCACACTGTCATCTGATGAGAGACTATCTGTGGTTCCTCATTCTTTGCCTGATTCCCCTTCTAAAGAGTCTGACATGTTGGGGGGGTTGCAGCGCAGTAAACCTCAAAAGGATTTAAGTGAGGCACTGGAGAGACCTGATAAGTGCATACCTGGTGTGAGTAGGGCTAGGAGGAGGTTGAAACCCCCTGGTTGCTTCAAGGATTTCATACTGTACTAATGAACATGTTAACATATAGATATAAAAAAAAAAGGATTGGACAAAATGACGACTGTTTAAGTAAATTGTACTAGTGTTTTAGATGGTAAAAATTGTTTCAGGGTTAGATGCAGGTTAAGGTATTATGCATGTTAATAGGGCCTTTCGCACCGCTTTAGTTCCAGAACTAAATGTACAGTACTAAAGTACTGGGACGATTTTGCGCGAACTATTTCCCAGTACTATTTAAAGGGTTGCATTCGCACAGGGAGTGTGTACTAAGAAGTGACGTAAGCCGGTCGACAGCGATGTCATTTGTGTGCGGCGTTCAACAACAGAAACAAAGAAAAACAACGTTAACAACAGGAGGATGGAGGACGCTGTGATCGGAGCTGTGTTTTTGTTGTGTCTCGCGGGTTTCACAATAATGGACATGGAAAGTCGACGTATACGTAAAGCGATTGAAAGAACGGAAAGGAGGACTAAGAATCTCCAACGACAACTGGCAGTGCTACATTTGCTACAAGTGCCTGCACTTCAGCGTCCGTCCATCTATCGCTGTTCTCCATACTTGTGAAATAAGTTGACATAATGTTTACAGTATGTTTACACGGCGTTTTAAATCATGGCGGGGGAGGGGGTTTTCATACGCGTTTGGCCAATCAATGTCTACTTGCGTCACGATTAGTACCAGTTGTGCTGGTTAGACCCTGCTCCGGAGTAGGAGCTAATTTGGTTCTTGAAAAAGGCAGTCCGGTACTAAAATCGCACCCAGTTCCGGCGGTGCGAAAACGCCAAAAAGTGGGTAGTTCCACAATTAGTTCTGGTACTATGAAAAGGTTCCCGCGGTGCGAAAGGCCCTAATGTGTATTATTATTTTGTTACCTGTTCTATCCTTTACTGTTTGAAAGATAAACAAGGACGTTTATTTTAGGGGGATGGGACGTATGTAACATACATTTTGAAGTTGATGTTAAGGTTGTAGGGTTGTGTTTGTGTGTGTATTGCTTTTCTGTCCCTCAGGGCTTGCTGTAGGCAAGGTTTGGGCACGCACATGTTAACGAGAGCGCCCAGTTGTGCCATGCGAGTTTCTTTGGAGTTAAGAAGAATAAAAAGTACATTATTCATATAATACCTGAGTTTCGCTTTCTTTGTTTTATTATTTGAAAAGTGTTTAGGCGAACCCGAGGCGTAAGCTCTGTCACACTGCGCCCAGATCTGACAAGTGAAGTATCATCTGGGGCAGGCAGAGTAAAAGTAGCAGCGTTTTCTGTTTTGTCACGTGCATCAATTGGAGTGTAAACAAACTGAGAGATCTTGAGGCTCCTTTAGCTGTAAGATATTGGTGGCAAATTGGTAAATAAGTGTAGATTTGCACTGTCTGTTTGCTCGTGTGAGATGGTCTGTGCTGATAGCAAACATTAAACGTAACTTATAGTTTACTATCCGTCAACTTTCTGTTCTTTTTTTCTCATGGACTTTGTTGATGCTGTTGTGAAACTGGTATTTAATCAACTTTTGTTGAATGTGAAAAAATATGGCATGAATTTGTGACTAACCATGTTTTGTTGTTTGTTCTGTATTGTAGGGTCATGTGCGGATCCAGATGTTGAGGTGCACAAAGCTGTTGGAGACTCACTGGAATTAATCGCTGATTATCCAAAAAAAGATCTTGAAGTGCAGTGGAAATATAATCTGATTATATTTGCTGAGTATCAAAATTCTAATTTACAAAAAGTGAAATCTGAATCATTTAATGGCAGGTTAAAGATGAATAAGGATAATATTAGTGTAACAGTAACAGACCTTAAACTGCAGGATTCTGGAAGATTCTCTATTGTTGCAGTAGGAAAATCTGAACAATATGACACAAAAGTCTTTGTACTTCATGTTCATGGTGAGTTTAATTGTTTGATATTTATTCTGTCAATGCTGTTAGGTTAGGATGCAAATAGCAAATTCTAAAACAACACATTTAAGAACTGACACTGAATATGTTTGTGGTCATTTCACTGAAGTTAAATAGTTCTTTAATGAAGGAATTAGTATGCTTATATAATTAACGTTGGCATATTATTTTCCAACAGAGCTTATCAGAGAGGTAAAGATTGAGTACAGTCATTTCTGGCTGCAATCAAAAAACATCTGCATGTTTCATCTTCGGTGTCTGGCGTCTGGAGATCCGAATCCATCCTACAGCTGGATCAGTCATCAGACTCGAGGATCACACCTGAATATCAGCCTCGGTTTAGCAGAGAACGCTATACTCAACTGCACAGCCAACAACACCGTCAGCATCAAGTATACCACTGAGACTGTAGTGTGCACAGAGAAATCTGACAGTTCAACTACATCAGGTATAGTTCTGCAATCAAATATCGAATTTCTTAAGTTCTCTACAGATTAAGAAATGTTATAGCCTACTCTGAAACCTATAAACAAATATGCAACTTGGTGCAAAGATGCAGGTTTTCGTCAGGAGTATTTGCTGATCGCGGTAGGCGTCGGTATCGTCGCAGTCATTATATTGAGTGGAACAGTCGCTGTGTGCTGCAGGTGGAGGAAGAATAAAGGTGTGTTGAACAAGTGTGAATGTGCACAAACAGTACAGAAGTTATACAGCATTTCATTCTCAACCTCACAGCTGTTTTCACACTTTCAGGACAAGGAGAAAGTGAAGCTGGTATTACAGTCTATGAAGACGTGAACACTGCAAAGGTGAGCGGCTCATTTCTGTCTATATGGATATCCGCTTTTTAAGGTTCCTGTGGCTCTGCAAAAAGATTTCAAATACATTTTTGAAGCTGTAATGAAAATAAAGATGATTGGAGTAAGTTTTACAAGAAAATACTATTTCTATCTTTCTACTTCAAAATTTCATGGTTTATGCAATGTGTTGCTTGCCGTTTCTTTGTAATTATTTGTGAAATGTACTAGCACCAAAAAAAATTGGTGCTGAAAATTTTCACTCAGAAAGTGCTAGTAAATTTCAGACAAATACTTGAATTAAACATTATATTTTAAACTAGAAAGACTGCAATAATATTTTCATGTAAAACATAGTCCAATAATATATTTTTTCAATAAATAAATAAAAAATAAAAATAAGTGTATACCTTTTTTTTTTTCAGTGTACGACACCACTTCCTAGACACACGCGAACTTTATTGTAGATGCATACAAACCTAATTTGTGCATAGAAATGGTGATAAACTTCTAGCTAACCAGATTTAATCTATATTACAGAAACGATCTGAAAGTGTTGTAAACGGGATGTCCATTTATGAAACGGTGAATGACATAAAACTCTCACAAGACTTGGTGAGTATTGCATGCATACATCATAAATACATCCATTATTGCTGTCATGCATTTGTTTGCTTATAAATTAGGCTCATATCATGTATTTAGTACCAAAATCACACACACACACATCATACCACAGTAGGCTAAATGAATATGGCATATATGTGAACCTGGACCACAAAACCAGTCTTAAGTGTCAATTTTTCTGAATAAATAAGCTTTCCATTGATGTATGGTTTGTTAGGATAGGACAAAATTTGGCCGAGATACAACTATTTGAGAATCTGGAATCTGAGGGTGCAAAAAAATCTAAATATTGAGAAAATCGCCTTTAAAGTTGTCCAAATGAAGTTCTTAGCAATGCATTTTACTAATCAAAAATTAAGTTTTGATATATTTACGGTAGGAAATGTACAAAATATTTTCATGGAACATGATCTTTACTTAATATCCTAATGATTTTTGGCATAAAAGAAAAATCGACAATTTTGGCCCATACAGTGTATTTTTGGCTATTGCTACAAATAAACCCCAGCGACTTAAGACTGCTTTTGTGCTCCAGGGTCACATATGTACAGTGAATCAGTGAGACTAAGAACAGCTTTGTTGCATGTTTAGAGAAGTTGACGGCTCTGTTGCGAAGTGTTTCTCTGGAATCTGTGGTAACGTCACACGCTTACTCCTCCTGCAGCCTCAAACCCTGTATGACAAAGTCAACTACCAGCGTCAGCCTGTTGTCAGAGCCAGCACTTCCTCCCCTTACCAGGAAGTCCTGTGAGTGTGAGACAGACAGACGGTTCTTGTATTGTTTTGTCATCTTATATCTGGATTGAGTTAACCAGCCTCCCATATGTATTATTGGCTGCATCATTTGACCTTTGAACTCTTGCATTAAATGCACTGTGCATTCAAGGTATCATGTTGGAACACTTTTTTATTTTTTTTTATTATTATTTTATTGTAATTTTTTTTTTTTGCAGAATTCACTATGCAGCACAATATTTCATTATGCACACTATCATTCAAAAATCGAATTGGGCTCAGTAAGTAAGATTCTTTTGGAAAAAAGTATTTTATGCTCATCAAGGCTGCGTTTATTTGATGAGAAATACAGTAAAAACTGTGAAATATTTTTACAATTTCAAATAACTGTTTTCTGTGTGAATCTCTGGTAAACTGTAATTTATTTCTGTGATGCGCAGCTGTATTTTCAGCATCATTACTCCAGTCTTCAGTGTCACATGATCTTCAGAAATCATTCTAATATGATGATTTGCTGCTCAAGAAACATTTATCATTATTATCAATGTTGAAAACAGTTCATAATTTTGTGGAAACTGTGATACATTTTATTTTTCATGATTATTTGATAAATAGAATGTTCAAAATAACAGCATTTATTTGAAATAGAAATCTTCTTCAACATTATACATGTCTTTACTGTGACTTTTGATCAATTTAATGCATCCTTGCTGAACAAAACTCTTACAATTTCTTTAAAAATCATTGTTGAATCCAAACTTTTCAAAGGTAATATATGTATTTTCTACACACTTTTCTGTATATGATAAATACTTAAAATTGGTTAGTTTAACTTGTTGATATGCATTAAAATCAAAAGTAACGCAATAATATTGAGACCAAAGACACAACGGCCCAAGCGATGATTGAAATCATCTAACCTCGAGACGTCTGTGTGAATGACTCTTTGACATGACTGTAGTACTTAAGTTTGGAAGTAGTTTTCTTCCTTAATAACATCATACCATCACACAGTTGTCTGTTCTACGATTCTAGCGAATCTGCAACATAACGACAATAAGCATGTATTGTTTCTGCATGTTTTTATGGTATTTAAACACGTTTAGCATGTCCACAGCTGTAATATTGTAATTGATCCAATTAAACCATTCCTGTGTCCTCAGTTCGGGAGGAAGATTCATATAATCATGTATACATATTCTGTCTGTGTAGGAGTATGTAGCCTTTGCTATCAGTCAGCTGCTCTCAGATTGCAGAATGTAGAATCAAAGTAATTTCTCCTTTTTATATTTACACTCTCAGGCATTTACTGATTGGTCACTTAATAGCTCAAAATAATATCACTGCTCAGTCAGCACCATTATTTCTCTTTCTCAAGCCGTTGCCACCCATCCATCTGAGATGAGTAATACATCTAAATTATCAGCCTGACGCTTGACCCGCCACCTACTTCCTTAAAACTTATCTCTAAAATTACCAGAACGACTTTACCGGTAAATACAAAAATGCGATGTTCACACAGGCAACAACGTCCCCTCTTTTTACCGGTAAAGCACCGTTCACACATCAGTTTCAAAATACCGGTAAATTCTGTGACATCATTAACGGGAAACGAGCTCTAAACGGCTGCGCGTCCCGGTGTTGTGTTTGTAAACATGGAGGGGTAAACGCAGTCAGTTTTTGTCAATTGTTGACATTTTTGTGTCAAACGTTTACATTCATGCAGCTGATTTTGGCCCAGAGACATCATATTAGACGACTTTAGATATTTATTTGACTTCCGTAAATGTGTCATCTGTGTCAGAATGTCATGATTGGCCCAGCGTAGACGTTTTAGGGTAATCTTATACCGGTAATCCCATTCTGCGTGCACACAGACCGCATTACCGGTGTTGTGTCTGTTCCCCCTATTGCCTTGTCCAAATACCCGCACTTGTGGTCTTTGCGCTTGACCACTTGACTACTTATATGACGTATTTCCTGTATTTGGTCCAAGTGTTCAAGTGAGCATGAAGACCACAAGTGTGGTGAACTTTTAATTACCTGATGGGACACACTTATAGTGTTGTAAAAATGCAACACTTTATTTTTATCTTCAGTACTTTGCATTTTAAAATCACCTTCTAAATGTCTGTTCAGTAGTTCCTTTAACAGATGACACAATTTAATTTTGTGGTGCTTCTAATTAAGTGATAAAAAGCAGTTGCAAATGTTGTACAAAATAAATATCACCACTACTCATTTGCACCAATAAAATGTGCACCTCTACTAAATTATATGTAATATCTAATTATTATTCATATTTAACACTGGAAAGGTTTCCGTGACCTCTCGCGAGATCTTGGCAAAAAGTCTCACGATTTATTTCCAGAACATGATGCATGATGGGATACACTAAGCCTCGAATACCGCTCCGGAGCAGTGTGGATTTAGTGTGTGTTAAGAGCACTGCGCTTCGGCGTTTTTAAGACCTGGGACAGTCTTGTGCACTTACTTCCTGTCGCGCGCACGCACTCTCAAGTGGCCAAGACCGCAAGTGTGGGTATTTGGACAAGGCATATGTTCCCCACTACACAAACAGCGTACAGAGCAAGCGTGTGTGTGCTCGTTCCACTGTTCCCGCGCAGTTTCCGCTTATCTTTTTATCATCTTATAACACAGTGGTTCCCAACCCTGGTCCTGGAGGCACCCCAACACTGCACATTTTGCATGTCTCCTTTCTCTGACTCTATGGGTTGGGAACCACTGTGTTATAACAGTACAATCCATTGAAGGCACTTCTATCCGTCACAGCCTCGTTTTAAATTCCTGTCAAAAACTAAATATGGTGCTAACCTGACTGAGAGGCCACGTTTATCACCAAAATAGAGCTGTCAGTCCTGTATTTAAGTTCAAACACATTATTTACAGGAGTGACAAACAGCATTTTAACTGCAGTGTTGACCAAAAAAATAAGAAAAAAAATGCTGTCTGATGTGTGAATGGAACCATATTGGACGAATAGTTGTCTGACACGTTTTACACGCGTGTTACTGGTTTTCATGTGTGGTTTTGCTAACTTACAGAGACGCAGATATGAGCTGTGTGTTTAGATCCAGTCACTGTCCTCCTCCGGATCTGCTACCGTCAGATTGAGACAGGGGTAGCTGCAGGTCGGAGTGATGGCCGTGGCAAAAGGCGAATGCTACAACAGAAACTAACCCCTAACCCTACCCATAACCCTAACAAATTAGAAAGAACTTTCGCCATGCCCCCTACCTTTCGACATGCCCTAATCTTTAGACATGCCCCCTACCTTTCGCCACGCCCTAATACCTTTCGCCACGCCCTAATCTTTAGACATGCCCCTAGCTTTTGCCACGCCCTAATCTTTAGACATGTCCCTACCTTTTGCCACGCCCTAATCTTTAGATACGCCCCCTACCTTTCGCCACACCCTAATATTTAGCCACGCCCACTGCTCTAGCCTGCAGTTATCTCTACTTGCTCAGATTTTTAGTCTGTGCGCGACCCAAATGCTTCGCTCTTGAGACTGAGGTTAAAAGGCTGCTGTTGGCCAATTACGATTCGATGGGTGAAATCGCGCCTCAGTTTAACTTTTCGTGTAGTAAGACTATACATATTTATTTTTGCTGTGGTTATAGGTGATATTCACAAGTAGAATATATGGTCTTGATATTTCGAGACTCATCGCGAGGGCTGCTCCCCGTGGGCCTCGTGCCAAAATACAGTAACAGCTGACCTGATGATGTAAAGCCAATAGTTTTACAGTTCGTGTTTTTGTCCTTTGAAATACTGTAATAGGTAAAAGTCATAGTGAGACTATCATGATGCTGTATCTTTCTGCTTGTTAAAAAATGCTTTATGCAGTAGAATACACAATTCATCACGGACACCAGGTACAAAACCGCTACTTTTCAGGAAATGGAAAAACACTGTATTTAAAAAAAAAAATTATAATAATAGACACTGAGGTGTCAGTTAATATTGTGGCTTTATATGTGATCAGACTCTTGCATGTGCCATTATTTTATTATCATTTTATCAAGTCAAGCTAAAGTGGAGTTAAAAGGTTTGTGACCCGCGAATGTCAAACATCTGTGTGTTTTGTCCATCATTAGAACGGAAACATCTGAGACAGTAAGTGCATTGCATTACATTTTCTTAAACTTAAAGGTTATAAAGTTTCGTGAGCACTTAGGTTTGTCTGTCATTTGGCTGAAATATCATGTTATAAAAGGTCAAGTGCTATGCACAAACTGTTTAAGGCTATTTACTTGCTATGATTCAATGACAAATGCTAGGCTAAAGGTGATGATACACAGGGCAACTTTTTGCCATCAACGACAACCAGGTGAGACACAGGGCACACGACCGATCTAAAGTATCCAGATAGAAATGTGTTGCCCATTCTCAATGGGAAAGTTCCCAAGCCACATTGTTTAAAACAATTGCCCTGTGTATCATCACCTTAACACTCTCTTCTCCGGTCCTCAAATACATAGAACCGTAGCCTTTATATGTACTATGTACTATATATATATATATATGTAAGTTACTCTGATATTCCCTTGTATTTTGTTTGTTTAAATGTGTTGTTCTGAATTGTCTTCTTATGTTCTTTCTGTGAATGAGCCAAAGAAAAGCACAATGTGAATAAAACTTTGAAATAATTCTGAAATAAAGTCACTGGGCAGTCTGGACAAGTGTGAAAATGATTCAGTGGAATGTCCTTTAATGGAACCCATTTACAAAGTATTTACTCATATACAGTTCTGCTGAAATATAGGTCATGTGTCCATAAGTTGACACTTCCCATTGACAAGACAGAAGTGTCATTACTCAGAATACCGTGACACACACATACTGCTAACAATTCATCATAACAACCCGAAATTACATAGAAAAATTATTTCACACATATTTTTGAACAAAGCAGCTATAGACAATTTGTTAAATAAAAAAGCTGCCATGCTGAGTCAAGATTTAAAGGCCATTAGTACCAGAAGCATGAAGGAGTGAAGGAGCACAAGCCTTTAGATCTTTGAGGCAAATGGATTTTGAAGACAACATCCATTTTTTGTATCTTTGAAAAGGTTGCCTAAAGTACCAGAAACCATCATTTACACAGGTGACTGATGACACATTTCATAAACCGG